TGTGGATAGCTGAATTGAAATGCTGGTAACATATCTGAGTAGTTATTTCCCATAGACATTTGGAGATTCAGGGGTGGAGCTTAGAAGAAATGTCAAGGTTAGATATATTGATTTAGAAACCATTTTCATAGAAGTGATAGCGGAAGCCATGGAGATGAGAATGTCAAAGGAGAGAAGGTAGAGAAAAGAGAAAATGGCCAAAGACTGATACTTGGGGAACACTCACCTTAAGGTTAGAAATAGAATGATGGATAAGAAAAAGATCAATGAATCAATCAACAAATAGTTATTAAAGAAGTAATATATGTCAGACTTTGGGTCAGGCACTGAGGATAGAAAGACAAAAATGAAACAAGAAACCTTCAAGAAGCTTGCATTCTAATGTGGGAGACAAGCCATATGGTAGTGGGGTGAACAGGGAAGGTAGTGATGTCTGGGAAGTCACAGGGCTGATGAATGGAACCACAGGGAACTCCACTGATTTGATGATAGTGTTGATTTGAACAATTCTCAGAGCAAGAGGTGGACAGTTGGGGTGAAGGGGAATAAGTACCCTCCTAGTGTACTGAGGGAAACAACTTGAATATAAATAATTAGATAGGAAATATATACAAAGCAAACACAAAGAAATATAGGGGGGGAGAAGCTGGGGGACAGAATCTGTAAAAGTCTAATGTGACAACAAGCATTTATTAAGCTTTTACTATGTGCCAGGCATTCTTCTAGGTGCATTAGAAGAGACAACTGTACATATAAAATTATACAGCTTGATTACACCTTAAACTGCTAAATCTTAAAACTACCCTAAGACTTTTGGGATACCCTGTATACAGAAGAGATGACCTTGAACTGAGCTTTGAAGGAAGTTTGGCATTCCAAGAGGTAGAGGTTAATGGGGAAGAGGGGTGCATCTTAGGTATGGGGGTGTAGATAGCCTATTCAAAGACATGGAGCAAGGAAATAGGATAATATATGTGAGTAACATCAAGAAGGCCAGCCTGGCCGGACCATAAAGCCAGTAAAAAGGAGAAATATATATGTCTGGAAAAGTAGGCTGGAACTAGGTTGTAAAAAGGGCTTTAAATACCCAATGGAACAGTTTGTAATTGATCTTGGAAGCAATAGAGAGCAAGAGAAGGAACAGTTGGAGAGGTGAGATGAGAACTAGGGCATTCTGTTCTGTGTGAAGCCAAGCATGGAATTACCCAGAAGGAGAGGTCATCCACAGGGTTGAGCATGCTCCAGAGAGGTCAAAGACAGGAGGGCTGAGGAAGAAAATTGGATTTTGTGATGAGGAGGTCATTGGCCAATAGGGTGGTGGATAACAAACCCAGTAAGGAGATGAATAGAGAGGATGAATGGTGAGAATGTGGGAAGCTTTTTAGAGAATTTATTTAGATACTTTCTTTCAACAAATTTGACTGAAGGAGAGTCATTCAATCAACTAGCATTTCAAAGCACCTACTATGTGGCAGACACTTCGAAGCACTGAGATAACAAACAAACAAACAAGAGACAAAGAACTAGTCCCTGCTCTTAAAGAGTTCACAGTCTAATGGAAAGACAGATGAAATTAGACTGGCTTATGAAAGATGCTGCTGCTGCTAAAATGATAATAATTAAAATAACTAAGAGTTATATAGTGCTTACTAGGTGCCAGGAACTGTGCTAAGTGCTTTACAATTATTAATTATCTCACTTGATCTTCACAACAACTCTTCAGAGTAGGTGTAATTATTATGTCCATTTTACGGATGGGAAAACTGATGTAAGCAGAGGTTAAGGTCTAGAGAAAGTTGTTTGGGTTTTTTTGAGAATTAGGGGACCCAAATATGTTTGTAGGCAGATGAGAAGATACCAGAGGAGAGTATGAGATTAAAGAAGCATGAGAAGGGAGAATGAGTTCTTAGAACAAGGTCCTGGAAGTGACAGGAGATAATAGATGAAGGGCAAAAATTAGTCTTAGTAAGAAGCATGGCCACCTTCTCTAGAGTTATGATCATGGTTTAGTTTGGAGGTGGAGAAATAAGGAAGTTCCCATTTGATGGCCTCCATCTGCTTAGTGAAGAAGCGACACATTTGTTGTAAATATAGGGTGTTGGGGTGCAGTCAAGCTTGTGGAGAGGAAGCTGTTTGATCTTTAGACACAGAAAATTTAAGGCTTTTAGCTACCTAGATTTCTCCATAGGGAAAAAATCCAAGGGCAAAGCAATTTCCATATACTTGGTTGACCCCTGGTGAGGTGAACTATTATTAGCATGCAAAGAGATGCAAAAAAAAAAATCTAGGTGATATTAGGTGAGAAATGATTGAGGCTAGAGGTATTTTAAACAGGTCAGCCGAAACAAGATTTTACCTCTTAAGGAGAGAGGTAATAGCCATACATTGTTTGATCCAAAAAGGTATTTTATTGAATTCTATGGCACATCTATATAATCTGCAAAGGTGTGAGATTTAATTAGTGACTTGATAACCAACAATTAATGACAGAAACTTTACTTCATAAAAGGGTGCTATGAAAAGAACATTCGAATTGAAAATAAAAAAGATGGAGAACTGTAAGTCCCTGCTTGCCTAGTTACTATCAGATTTCAGACCAGTCACACTCACTTGGGATGACTTTCCTCATCTATAGAATGGGGATAAGAATATTTGCATTATCTGTCTGGGGATTGTTGTGAGGACCAAATAATGTAGAGAATATAAACATATATGCAATACCTTTTCAATAACAACTACTTTGTGTGTGAAGGTGATGGTGCATTTGTGTTGGCTGGGTCTATATTGACTGGGAGTGCAGTTCATGTTTTATGCTCCCCAAAAGAAAAGAAAGAACTCTAGGATTGATTTTATTGCTAAACAAGGATTCTCCCAAACTGCAAATATTCTCCAAATTATTTTTTCTGCAGAAGTTGTAATTCACTATAATATTTAAAAAGTCAACTATGTAGTACATGGGACGCAAGATGTATATATCACAGGCCTTATGCTCCAGGAGCCTAAAATCTTCAAGAACAATAGACATGTATTCCAATAAATATCATATCAGGTAGAATGTGGTGGGGAAAATGAGAGTCAAAGTGCTATGAGAAATTTTTGAGAGAACACTTTCAACTAGAGTAGTCAAATCAGGAAAGGCTTCATGGAGAAGGTGGCATATAAATTGGGCCTGGAAAGGAAGGGCTTCAACAGATGGAAATTGGGGTTGGGAGGAGGATCAAGCAACAATCAATCCACAGGCATTTATTAAGTACTTACTGTATGCCAGGCATTGTAGTAAGCCCTGGGAGCACAAAGACAAAAGTGAAATGGTCCTTGCCTTCAAAGTCTTACATTCCAATGTGGGAGACAACATGTATATGAAAAAGTGTGTATATAATATATGCAAAATGAATACGAGGTAGTTTTAGGAGAGGGTACATTAGCATTTGGGGGGCAACCAGGAAAGACTTTATAAAGAAGGAAGAAGGAATGAATTGCAGGCTTGAGGGACAGCTAGTGCAAAGGGAAAGATAGCAAGATGGACTACCCTGTGTGCTAAGCATGGTGTAGGTCTGTATGGCTGGATGGGAGAGCACCAGAAAGGAAGTAAAGTGTGACAGTATTGGAAAGGTAGAAAGGGGCCAGGTTGTGAAGAGCTTTGGGGAAGGGATAGTATACTGAAAATAATATGAGATCTGGTAGGATAGGTAAGTTGTCTGTATTGAGTAGGTAATATTGAGCCACAGGAGGGTTTTTGAGTAGAAGAGTGACTTGCTCAGAGCTGAGTATTAAGACGTTAACCTGTATGTGGAAGATTGATTGGAGAGAGGGTTGAAGACAAGAAACAGAAAGTTATTGCGATACAGATGGACAACTCTTCTGCCACTAATAGGCATAAGATCACAGATCTCCTGCAGAAGGGGCCTCAGAAGCCACACAGTCCAAATCTTTCATTTCACTGATGAGGAAACTGAAGGTGAGGGTTGTGACTTGTTCAAGGTCACACAAGTAGTAATCCTCAGAAGAAGGATTTGAACCTAGGGCCTCTCATTCCAAAATCAACACTTTCCCCAGTACCACCACACCACTTCCAGCAGTCTTAGATGATGCCCCGGGGGTCCTAAGAAGTAAGTGACTTGCCCAGGGTTGCAGTCAGTATTGTATTACAGGTAGAACTTGAACCGAGGGTTTCTTTACTCCAAGGCGAGCCCTTTATCCAAGGGGCCTCCCTGCCCTGAGACAACAAATTGGACTTTAAAAAATTTAATTGGCTAAACATATAAATAATGTTTTAACACTTAGCAATGACTTCTTGCAAAAATATCCATACATTTTTATTTCAAGTAAAGAAAATGTAAGGCTATATTCTTGACACGTTTATTAGCATTCTCCCTGTGTAGGAAGAATGGCTAGAAGGGAACAGAAGATATTTGGAGGCTTTCTTGACAAATCCTTGGAAAAGAAGCTGGTCCTCTCCGCCCTGCCCCACCCCCGTCTTAGATGGAAAAGACTTGGGGCTCTGTTAACCAAATGACTGGCCAGCCCCACAGTGACGGGTATTAGCATTCCCCCCTCCCCTCCGCTCTTATTCCTAGCCTTGCGAGGGATGAACTCACGCTGTGACTCAACCCTCGGGGGCTTTACTTTTGCAGATTTAAGGAGACACTTTTCACAGCTTACAGCTGCGAGAGGAGGTGATTATTTCCATGATTAAACAGCTGTGACTCCCGGAAAGGTTGTACTCGAGTTCACATTCCTGGGCACCCCAGGCTTAGACTCTTTTTAGACCCCTGCCCTACTTGACAAAACTAAGCCCACAGCCACTGGCGGGAGAACGCCTGGTGGGGGCGTTGTCACTCACTGGTAGGCCCCACCCACCTAGCATTCTGAAAGGGGGAATCCCCGCCCATCCTGTCACCGGCACAGGGGAATCCCCGCCCTCAGCTGGGTCACTCTCTGGGAGGGAGTCCCCGCCCCTCGGATCGTCCAGAGGCTGGCTGGGAGGGAATCCCCGCCCACCCTGAGAGGCTCGGGAGAATCGGGAGCTCTCTGGGGCTGGAGGAGGTTCGGGTCTCTAATTCCCGTCTTTTTCTATACCCGTCCGGGCGCTAGGTAGGAAGCCGTGGGCTGCTGGAGTTAAAGGGAGCTTGGAGGAGAGGCGGCCCAGGCTGCCCTGGGCGGCCAGCCGCTGGTGCAGCTCATTCAGCACCGGCACCGCAGGGGCGGCGGCGGCGGCAGGCAGCAGCAGCAGCAGCAGCAGCGGCAGCAGCATCTCGGGGAGCTGGGAGTCCGTGCCTGGGCGGGCCTTACGGAGCTGGAGGAGCCGGAGCAGGAGCAGGAGCGTGCGGCGGGCAGGTGAACAGACCCCCACCCCCTTCCCGCCTGCTCCCCGGGCTTTGGGATTGCGACGGGCTGGGTGATAGGGGGAGGTTGGACGGGGGCAGTGGTCTTTTCCTCTGGGCGATTCGCATACAGCTGTGAGCTTCTGCTCAACCCGAGGCTGCGGTGCCCAGCACCCCACTTCCCCGGAAAGTTTCCCGGGCTAGCTCCGGGACCAGACTTGGGCTGGCCAGTTGATTCCCGGAGCTTGCGCCAGGGAGCTGGAGGCTCTGGGAAGGGGAGAACTCAAGCCCAGTCCCAGTGAAGGAGAGGTCCAGGGTTGGCCGCTGGGTGGGGGGCGCAAAAGGGGTGATCCAACTCGGGAGGCTCAAACTCCTCCAGCTGCTGCTCTGATTTCAGAGAGCCCAGCCTGTGTGAAAAGATGGCCGAGAGGGCTAATGAGGTTTCTGTCCGAGGAGGGGCTAGGCAACGAGGTGGTCCCTTAATGTTCCCCCTAGGGCAACCAGGAGTCCTGGAGTCCTGCAAAAGCGTCTCCCCAACCTATCCCCTCCTTTGACCACTTCCTAGGGCTCCAGCTATCTGAGCTCTAGCTGCAGGTGGTACAGTGGGGATGGTTGGTTGGGACCTTCCCCCTCCTAGGTTAAGGAGCCCCTTATTACTGCATTCTTCACCCTCTAGGGAAGCGGTGCAGATGTGGAGGGGTGTATGGGTGGAGAAAAGTCAGCGCACGCCACTGCGGAAGAGCCCACAGAAGTAGAACGATCCGAGTAGAGAGAGATGCTTCTTTGCCTCTTTTAGGCTGGGGATACATCAATGCCATAGTAAAGAGAGCAGAGGGCCCAAGGAGATGCAGGCTTAAACGTTGTTGGGTGTGTGGCAGATTGTTGAAACCTGTGATGGGGCATGTGAACAGTGTGCACCCCGCCCAGTCTCCTTCAGCAGCCTGGGCTCTTCACCCCTCTGGTCCCTTAAGCCTCCAAGGCTCTGGGGTCTAAGGCTGAGTCCTCACTCGGCTTCTCCTCAGCCCAACTCTCCCTGCTTTGAAAGCCAGCCAGAACTCTGCTGGATCAGCTGATGGTGGGGGAGGGGATATGCCAGGACTGATTCTCAGCAGCAGTTTCTGGTAGGTATTGTAGCACAGGCACCTTGATAAAGGAAACACGTGTGGTGACAAGGTTTGGGGTCTGCTAGTAGTCACTTTTCAGACACAGATAAGCACATCTGCGTTGGAGCAGCCAGTCAGTACATAGGGTTCTTAGAGCCTATGTGACAGAGAATATATTTGGCCTCCCTTCAGAGTGTGTGTGTGTGTGTGTGCGTGCACGCGTGTGACAGAGAGAGAGAATATGTATATGTGTGTATGAGAATATGTGTGGGTGTGTATGTGTAGGAGACAGAATATGTGTGAGTATGTGTATTCTATGTGTGTGTGTATATGTCAGAGAGAGAGAATATGTGTATGTGTGTATGAGAGTATGTGTGTGTATGCGTAGGAGAGACTGTGAGAGTGAAAGTGTGTGTATTATATGTGTGCATCTGTGTGTGTGTGTGTGTGTGTGTGTATATGTATGTCAGAGACAGACAGACAGAAGAGCACGAGCTGGGGAGGGAGTGAGTACTTTTTGCCTCTTTCATAATCATGGGCTATGCCTCAATGACAAAAAAAGAAAAAAAGTCCTTCACATTTGATGACAAAGCTTCTGTCACTACTGTCACAGAGCTACTGTGATTTGTGACTAGGCTGAAAAAGATGATCCACAGCTTTCTTCACCCCACCACCTCCCCACACATCAGGCACTGTAGCTTTGAGTCACCGGTACCTTGGGGGGTGGGGTTGGGGGAACTTTTGTTGGCTTTCTGGTTTGGGGATCTGCCTATCAGGAGAACTTGAACCTGAGCTTATTTTTCCAGCAGTGTATTGGTCCCTGAGGAAATGGTCACTGTCCCCTGTGCTAATAATGACCTCATATTGGAATAGCATTTTAGGGCTCACAAAACATGGAATTTTCAGATGGCTTTAAGTCCTTCATCTGGTGTTCCTGTGAGCCAACATCACACACTGTGGGATGACTGCTTGGGAGTAGGTATTTGTAGGATCACTGATATGTCCTGCATGTATGTGTGTGTATTGTGTGATGGTGGTAGTATTTGAGATAAGAAAACTGAGTTCATACTCTTAGAAGCAGATGGCTGTTTTTGTCTTCAACTTTTTCCGCCAATTTTTAAAAATTGTTAATTTATTTTGATTTATCAACAATCACTTCTATAAGCTTTTGAGTTTTAAATTTTTCTCTCCCTCCCTCCCCAAGACGGAGCAATCTGATATAGGCTATACATATATATTCCTATTAAACATGTTTTCACATTAGTGATGTTGTAGCTAAGAATTAGAACCAATAGGAGGAACCACCAGAAAGAGGAAACAAAACACATTAGTATACTTCGATCTGCATTCAAACTCCACAGTTCTTTCTTCTTTGTGGATAGCATTTTCCATCATGAGGCCATTGGAGTTGTCTTAGATCCTTGTATTGCTAAGAAGTGTTAAGTCTATCAATATTAGTCATCGAACAACGTGGCTGTTACTGTGTATAATGTTCTCCTGGTTCTGCTCAATTCACTGAGCATCAGACCATAAAAGTCTTTCCAGGTTTTTCTGAAATCTGTCTGTTCATCATTTCTTATAGCACAATAGTATTCCATTCCATTCATATATCACATTCACAGTTATGATTACTATCTGTGTCTTTATCTCCATCCTTTCCCCCCTCATTTATGCTTTTCTTTCTCCTTTCTCCTTTTCCCTCCTCACTAGTGTTTTGCTTTTGGCCACCACCTCCCTCAGTCCCATCTCCCTTCTATTAGCCCCCCTTCCTTTTCTTCCTTTTTACCCTTACTACTTCTTCCCTCACTTCTATCTCCCCTCCCTTTTCTTTCCCCTTTTCCCTCCTACTGCCTGTAGGGCAAGTTAGATCTCTATACTTAACTGATTATGTTCTTGAGATAAATCTGATGAGAGTAAGGTTCAAAAAATGCTCATCTCCCTCCCTTCTTTCCCTCTCCTGTAATAGGTTTTTGTGCCTTTTCCTATAATGTAATTTACCCTTGTCTGTCTCCTTCTTTCCTTTTCTCTCAGTACATTTTCTTAGATCAGATTAACCCACTTGATTAGATTTTTTTTTAACATTACATCAAAGGCAACTTATACTCATTTCCTTTATGTATACCCCTTTAACAATGTGTAGTAACAATACAGTTCTCAAGAGTTACAAGTGTCATCTTCCCTTGTAGGGCTGTAAACAGTTTGCCCTTTTTAATAACATGTTGTTTCTTTCTGTCCCATATACCTTTTTATGTCTCTCTTGAGTTTTGTATTTGAAGATCAAATTTTCTGTTGAGCTCTGGTCTTTTTTTCAGGAAGATTTGGAAGTCCCCTGTTTTGTTGACTATCCATCTCCTCCCCTGAAAGATCATGCTCATTTTCACTGTCACCAATTTTTTTTTTTGAAGTGAGGTACGCAGTGGAGCCTTTGCTGTTAGCTAGGATATATACATATATGGGGAAAGAAGTGAAGATGAGAAGTGAGTTTAGGGAGAAAAATCTGTAATTTGCTGGATGACTATTTCTTTAAAAGTGCTTCAATGGAACTATGATAAAGCAAATTATATTATAAATATACTAGGAGAGCTTCCAATTTAAGAAATCTTCTGGTGAATCCTTCATTCAACAAATATTTGAGCATATGGAAAGTATATTGTGAGATACCATAGAGAATACAACAGCAATTAAGACATAGAGCTTAGAATCATAGAATATTAGAGCTAGAAAGGATCTTAATGATCATTGAGGCCTAGTGAGGTGAGGTCACATACACCCAGTGAGTTAGTGGCAGAGAAGGCTGGAACCCTACTACTTCCTACTATATCACAGCTGTCCCTTAAGGAGTTTATAGTCTAGAAGAAGAGATAGATATAATCAGCAGTGTGGTACAGTGGAGAGAGTACTAATTTTGGAGTCAGAGGGTCTGGGTTAAAACCTTGTGTGATAGTGCCAGCATTTCCTGGATACAACTTTTTTTTTTTTGCTTTTTTTGATGAGGCAGTTGGGGTTAAATGACTTGCCCAGGGTCACAGAGCTCTATCCAGTTCACCATCTAGCTGCCCCCTGGATATAACTTTTTTCCTCCCACCCACAGCATGGGGATACTTTACTAAAAGAAGACAAAGCTATTCCTGGGGCCTGATTGGCCCCAACTTTTCTGGTCCATTTTTCTTCTGTAAGACCCATCCCAACATGGAGTAGGCCCAGGACAAATCTGCCCATGGAATCTGATTGTCCTTGGTTTCCTTGTTGCAAGGTCAGCTAGGGTTATAAAAAATGCCAGCCATATGGAATCTGAGACTCTCAGATTTGACGGGCATCTAAGACCACTCAAGTCACCATGCCCTGATGGCCATTTCTAGATGGAGACCAGAGGTGGGGGTGGAATGTGCAAAGAAACCAAGTCCCATTGTATCCTGGTTGCGAGTCCTTGCTGTGTTAGGGTAAAATAAATCTCCTTTTGTAAAGGTTCAATGATTTGTGAAGGCCTCATTTCATCCCAACTTGGGACCTGAACTAAGAGGGTGCTGCTGTTAGTCTTAATTTTGACACCTGAGCTCTGGATTTTATTATCCCAGTGATTTGGGGCATCCTGGCCCTGAGTGGGAGGGTAGGAGTAGGGTTGGGTGGGGAATTGGATTAGATATCCTCTGTGTACCCTTCTTAGCTCTAAATCTTTGATCCTCCAAATAAATGTAATTTATAGGCATAACTCACATATCATTAATCTGACCAATGTTTCACAATAAAGCCAATAATACATTATGAGCAAGCCCCACAAAAATGTTGTAAAACACTACTGAACCATGTTCTAAAATGTCATTTGACCAATCACCCATTTATAATGTGACATTGTTCCAGTGAAACCAATTGCCCTTTGTAACTTCATTTCCCTAACATAGTGTTTTCCCAG